ATAGGGCTTGTAAGACAAAATATAAAGTGAAAATAAAAAAGTATCTTATTTTAGAAAAAAAAAACAGAAGCCAAAATTGGCTTCCCATGCAATAACGTCTGTGTATGAGACTGCCATTTTTGGCTTCCTATGCACAACAAATACCAAAACTTACACAAGGTGAAATTCTCTAAAACAGTTTCTTTTCTCATTCAAGCAAAGAAACACGTCACATTTCTCACATTTTATATGAGAACGCAAAGAACAATCATTCTGACATAGTTGACGATTCTTTTGGTGTATCTGGAAATGGTCAATTTTGTCTGTACGTACTGATTTTAGAGGTAGGTCTTGCACGTTTGCTGGGGTTTTCCGTGCCCTTTTTCGAGGTGCGAAAGATTCATTTCTACTGGTAGGAGTACCCGTTCTAGATGACGTAGGAGTATTTCCTCTTGACAAGGTAGGTGTACCGGGATTACTGATACTAGGACGGCCTCATTTTTTGAGATGCTCTTGCCAGCCTTGCAATAATGTTCAGAAATAGCTAGCTTGAAGTCAAATTGTGACATGTATTGGTCAGTCTTGCGTCGCCACAGTAACCAAGCATTGACTGCACACCTATCAACCAAGTGGAAAAATATTTTTTTATACCACTGACGAGATCTTATTTTGATCCTATACAGACCTAACAAAGAGTCAAGCAAATCAACGCCTCCCATGTGTCGATTATACACATCAACGCATTGTGGCGATGTTATTTCCTTGTACTGTTTATCTTTTCTGAAATATCTAGTCTTAGTGGAAGTCGGTTCACTACCAACAAATACAAAATACAAATGTATTCTACATGAAGACATCCGAATACAATGAGATTCCTTATAAGCTATTCCCTTATCTTTGAATAAATGGCTTACAGTGATAACTTGAACTTATGAGAACTTAATATTAGTTATGGCTAACTCTCGTCACTATTGAATATTCGAGATGGATCTTCCAAGATCTTCTCATCATCATATTATATTTTCAATATTTCGGTAAAATTAGGACTGTATCCTCCAAAATATTTTCTTTAATGGTCACATTAGTTACATTGAAATTACATTTTATGAATACCAATGGCACTGATACTGATATGGTACTCATTTTAATTGCGCAGTCATGTGATTTTAATAGAATAAAATTTTCTTATTATCACTGCTTCTGAGAAGAAGTTTCTTCTTAAATATGGAATGTACAAGACATCAAGTTCATTTGTCTCCCACTGCTCATTGACATAGCTTTCCAATGCCGTATACTTCTACAGATTGTTTATTTCCCAATCTCAATGATTTCTGTTTACATTCAGAGTTCCAAAAAGTATTCCTTTCTAAAAATCATGTGTGCAGACCACTATCTTAAATCCAAACATTATTTTCATTATATGTAATATTTTCCACATAAAATGCTAACATATCTGCACCTTGCTGAGGTTTTCTCATCTTGGATTTCGGAGCACGGCATTCTCTAATGCCTCTCTTGCTACAATTACATTCAAACCTATCTCTGTTTATTCTCAGTAGTTTTTGAGTTATTCCTGTTGGCATGAGTGAATGTTTACGGAGTAGAAGTGAATTGCAACAGATTGTTTAATATACTTTATTAAGTATCTACTCTATATTAATATTGAAATTGAAATTTATTGAAAACAGATTAATAATTAACAATAAAAGTTATAACCAATTAAAAGATAAATACAAATAGTGATAAATGTGATTGATCTAGTGATGCCCACACTAGGCAATGCCTGTATCGTGGGCATCGAAACAGCAGGAGAAATATTTTTATACAATAATAATTAAAAACCTACGCTTACGGCGGTTCGGTATTATGAATTTATGAAAGAAAAATAAATATGCAAGATGATATATGATATATGTATAGAATAAATAAAATAAGATGTAACAATAAAACTAAATACTTGAGAATAAATAATATATGTTATATATGTATGTATGTAATAAATATTGATAAACGTCCTAATAAACAAGATTACTTAGAAATGCGGAGTGTTAGGTAGGAATTTTCAAAAGGTTCTCAGTGTCATTATAATTTAAAGTTAGCAACCATTTCAGTAAGCAGGACTTGACGATATAATAAAGCGTAAACACACACTTCTTTGTTGCCTAAGATGTCAGCAATTACAGCATATTTTTGAATAATTCTTTCCTTAATAATAAGTCCTACACTTACGCCACGCTTTAGGCTATACACTTAGGGGATAAAAAAAAAGATATGAACCCTAATGTGGAAAAGGAACCATAAATAGCAACTCCTACCTGTATACTGCAGCAAGTCGTCGATGACAGGCAACGGATAAGAGTCGCTTTTTGTGACGGCGTTGAGTTTCCTGTAGTCTACACAAAAACGGTAAGTTCCATCCTTCTTTGGAACTAAGAGAGCCGGCGCAGCCCATGGCAACTCACACTCTTCTATAACACCATCTTTCAGCATCTTATCTATTTCAGCTTCCATTATGGCTTTCTTGGCCGGAGTGAGACTGTATGGTGGTGTGGCGATAGGTTTATGGCCACCCGTATCAATGCAGTGCTCTGCAAACGGTATTGGACCTCCCCCTTCTCTAAAGATGTCTTTATATTCCCGCAGCGTTTCAGTTAAAATCGCCTTTTCATTCGGTGTCAACATGGTTCCCTCATCACGCCGAAGGAAATCTGCAGTCGCGTACTCGACATACGTCCTCGACGTTTCACACTGCAGAGGGTGAATGACCTGAGGCCGATCAGCCGTAAACCATAAGCTATCAGAAATGTTAACAAGACGAGCTTTACGTAGGAAATCAATCCCTAACAAAGTGTCGTTATTAACTGCGTCTGGAAATATAACAAATGTAGTAGGAATCACAGAACCTTCAAGCTTTACTTCAACATCTGCGAATTTAACTTTAGTATCGCGAACTATCCCATGGCAAGTTTAACCGTCATGCAATTATCGCGAAAAGGATGTTGTAATTTACGTAATAACGAATAAAGACTAAACCCCGCGATACTACGTTTGGCTGCAGTGTCCATCAATCCGGTACCCCGATAACCGAAAACTTCAAATCGCAAAATGGGTCGCTCACCCGCTAACGTACGTTCACTCGATGAGGTAGGTAAATTACGCGCGTTAGTCGCTTGCAACTCATCGCCATAATTTACATTCTGTGACAACTTACTCTTTGACAAAACATCCGCTTTACATATGTTTACACTCTGTATAGAATTACACTTGGACACATTACACATCTATTCAGTCTGTGCTGAACTATTCTTTGACGATGGAGTATCGTGTTCAGTGCGTAAATAATTGTTTATGGTCGAATTTAATATATGTTCACTCTGATATAAGTAAATCTGTGACGGTTGAATACAGTAATCCATCGTCAAAACACAATACCAACATTATTATCAATCTGACAAAAATTACTTGACGACTTAACATAGTGATCCGTCTGTACATTACATTACTATTCTGTGCCATAACACGCGGAATAAATTCAGTTTGTACAGTATTTAAGGATATACTATCGGTACTATTAGAACTATGTAAAACATAAGTCGAATCATAATGCGGTGAGGTATTACACTTAATGTCTCTATCGTAATTATCAAATGAACAGAATGAGTCCTTATGGATACAAGATGCACAGTTGGCGCGGATTACGCCCTTAGCACCACAACCATAACAACGGACATCTGATGATTCGATTTTACCTTTTACTCTTGTACACTCATTAAGCTCATGGCCAATTTTACGACAGTAAACACAACAAAGTTTTTTTACCTTTTATCGTACTTGTCACCTGAGTACGATCCTGTGTCGACTGTGTACGACCCTGGGTCGTCGGGGCGCGCGCTGCCGGCAAAAACGCGGGAAAAGCGAGCTGCGCAGGCGACGCGGGCGCAAAGCGAGAAAGCACCCGTGTGAAAGAGACAGCGTATCGTACACGCAAGGACTCTTACAATACTTAAATTGGCTGCGAAGCAATTGACAGCACAACAGTCGTGCGATAGTTTAGTCAGTCGCGCTCTTATACTTATTTTTAAGTGACAGGAATTTATAACAAAATAAATCAGTATTAAAAAGTAATTGTTTTTTTTTTATTTCATTCAATAAATACATCATTATTAAAATATAATTTCACGAGTACATACGGTTACTAAATCTAACTGCAGTTCTATGCAGAAATAGTTACATATTTCTTTCTCTGTCTAGTCAATGGGAGTGAAAGAGATGGGTATTCAAGTTTCTTAATTAGTATTTAGAAGTAACATACATCCATCCAAGTTCTCATTTAAATTAGTTCAAATATACACTTATCAGAGCTAAAGTTTCAACAGTTTTTGGTCCTTCAAGTCGGATCAAGAACTATTTATTCGAGTTTTTTAGTTAATTTTAAAGCGGAAATATTACCCAGATCTAAGTCGCTAAGAATTATTTTATGGCAAAATTCATTATATCTGTATTATATTATATTTATATGTGGGTAGTTTTGATAAAAATATTATGCACAACTTTATAGGCGGAAAACAAAACTAATTTCTATGTCTAATTATATGTATAAATAAAACACTTATTAACACTAGTTGTTACTCGCGATTTTGTCTGCGTGAAATTAAAAATATAGCCTATGTTACTCACTGATAACTTAGCTTTTTGGTGAATGAATTTTTAAAATCGATACATACAAAAATAAAATTCTCTTTATAATCTATACTATTATAATAGAGCGTAAACACACACTTCTTCGTTGCCTAAGATGTTAGCAATTACACCATATTTTTGAAAAATTCTTTTTTAATTAAAAGCCCTACACTTTCGTCACGCTTTAGGCTATATATTTTAACGTCATTAAACTTAGAGGGTAAATATTTTCGATAAAAACCCTAATGTGGGAAAGAGACCATAAGTTGCTGCCAACATCAAGGAACCAAAGGTTTGTCATGTCATGTCATTTGCTATTGATAATTTGACAAATGTAAACAATAAAATAAAATTTTCATAATTTCATGCGGATGAAGCCGCACGGGAACAGCTAGTACTAGTATATTAAAAGAAATCGCGAGTCTACCGGGTCAAATAAATGTTCCGCACTCTCACCTGTTTATATTTTCATATTAAAGTATATAGGCTTATTAATAACGTCGACTTCGTTCTTCTGTTCACAATGCGGCCACACCGGCTCAACTATAGCCATCTCGCTCGCACTTAGCGGTTGACTTTGTAATTGTACCTAAAAAAATTATTTTCTTTAAAGCAGGTATTTAGCAGAAAATATAAACAAGGCAAATATATAGCCTCGGTGGTTCAGTGGTTTAAGCACTTGAATTGTAATCTACATGTCTTGGGTTCGAATCCCGCTGTACCTATGATTTTCGAATTTTCATACGTACATAATTTACCCGACGTTCTTACGGTGAAGGAAAACATCGTGATGCAGCACATATCGGCGAAGACATTCAAAGACATGTGTGAAGTCAACCCGCAGTGCAGCGTGGTTGACTATGGCCTAGTCACCCCTTATTAGGGTAGGCTCCGAGCCCCTCGGTGGGGACCTGTAGTGAACTGGTGGTGATGATAAACAAGGCAAATAAATTATGTTTTTTTTTCCTTGATACCGTAGTTAAAATATTATTATGTTTGGAATTAAAAGAACAAAATAGACTATATGTTCTTCCAGACTGTTCTGGAAATGCAAAAATACAAACTCTCGCATTTACTAGCTTTAAGCCGCGACTTTGTCCGCCGAATTAAAAACTTAGTAAACAGCCCATGTATTTTTGTCTTTCATTCAAATTTATAATATTAGTAAGACTAGCTTTCTCCCGCGACTTCTTCCGGGAATAAAAAAACTTAGTGAGTATTCTCTGTTCAAACTATCCTCTACATATCACTTCATCAGTTTAAACAAACTAACATTCATCCAAACTTTCGCTTTTATATTAATAAATAGCTTTTGCCCGCGACTCCGTTCGAGTGAAATTAAAACAAATGTAGCCTGTGTTACTTAGTGATAACGTAGCTTTTAATGGTGAGATTTTTTTAAAAATTGGCTCAGTAGTTTTTGCGTGAATCAAATACATACAAAAATACAAATATTTCCTCTTTACAATATTAAGTATAGATTACCTGTCTGTCTGTTCGTTTGTTGCGTGTTCGTTTAGGCCACGGCTTCTTTAGATGCACGTAGGCCACGTGCGCGCGCTTCTCGCTCGCTTGCTTAAAACATTTTCCGCACATTTCACACGCAAACGGCTTCAGACCAGTGTGGATCTTAAAACAAAGTACGAATAACATCAATATATCAGGGAGAACATAACTTGTAGCCTTGTGAAGTGTGTAATAGAATGAGTGAACTGCGAAGTATGTATTATAATGAGTAAACTGTGAAGTGTGTATTAGAATGTGTGACCTGTGCATTGTATATTACAATGAATGAACTGCGAAGTGTGTAATAGAATGAGTGAACTGTGAAGTGTGTATTAGAATGTGTGAACTGTGAAGCGTGTATTAGAATGAGTGAACTGTGAAGTGTGTATTAGAATGTGTGAACTGTGAAGCGTGTATTAGAATTAGTGAACTGTGAAGTGTGTATTAGAATGAGTGAACTGTGAAGCGTCTATTAGAATGAGTGAACTGTGAAGTGTGTAATAGAAGGTGTAAACTGCGAAGTATTATATGTATTAGAATGTGTGAAGTGCGAAGTATGTATTACAATGAGTGAACTGTGTAGTGTATATTATAATGAATGAAATGTGAAGTGTTTATTAGAATAAGTAAACTGTGAAGCGTATGTGATAATGAATGAACTGTGTAGTCCGTATTATAATGAGTAAACTGCGAAGTGTGTAATAGAATGTGTAAACTGTTAAATGTGTATAACTTACAAACATATGCCGCTGTCTATTACTGTGAGTAGAGAAGTGTTTCCCGCAGAGCGCGCACACGTACGTATCCCTGCGCGGCGCGTGCACACGTCTGTGCGCTACGAGACGCTGTCGCATTCTGAACGATTTTCCACAAGATTCACATGCGAATGGCCGCTCCCCAGTGTGTACCCAACTGTGGTCTTTTAGTAATGCGTAACTCTGAAATATTACAAATCAAAACTACACTTGACCAGTACAGTTAGTCGGTTAACTCTTAAATGCATGATTTTTTTTAATTACCCTAAATGAAACAGGTAGTAAAGAATATAAATTAAGCACCAATAGTCTAATGCTTTGTGGTACAGAATACCGATCTTTTTTTTTAAATATAAGGTGGCAAACGAGCAAGCGGCTACTTAAAACCACCAAAATGGAAAGCGACCGCTGCCCATAGACATCCGCAATTGCAGATGCGCTGCCTACCTTTAATTGACGGAGGAGACGCACATAAAGAAGACATTTCCCCTTCCTATGCGTCTCCACCGTCAAATCCACTTTTCCTTCACATCCTTTATCTTAAGAAAATGGGTGGAAAGGGAAAGGGACTAATATTAGTAAACTTACTTGGAACATTCTGCCGCACAATTCACACATGCAAGGTGACTTCATAGAGGGGTAGTTAGTGCGGTTCTTGTCGGGGTGCATGCGCCGGAAGTGGCCGTGGTACGCTCGGGAATCCTCTAATTCCACACCACACTGTATAAATAAGAAAATAAAATAACACATGAGATATAAATCAAAAATAAAAATAAGAAAGAGAACTTTAATATCAAAGTAATTATGGATTAAAATTATCAAAATAAAATAATAAATTATGATAAAAAAATATAACATTAGCGAGAGTAGTTATGATACTTTAAAAAAATTATCTTACTAATCTTACTAATATTATAAATGTGAAAGTTTAGATGGATGTTTGTTAGAGTTTGTAGCCTAAACTGCTGAACGGATTTCGATGAAATTTGGTATAGATGTAGAGGATAGTCTGGAAGAGCACATAGACTACTCACTTTTGGTTTATTTTTTCGTTCCACGCGCACGGAGTCACAGGCGAAAGCTAGTTAAATAATAAAACTTTACAAAACAATCAGATATATATGTGGGATCGTTGCAGACAAGTAGAAAAAGTGTATTTTCAGTACAATTTTTAAATATCTGCGATGATACCCCATTTATACCATTTTTTTTATTTCCCACATGTACATTCCTCATTTCTTTTGAATATACAGCAGAACCTTTATAACTTAAAGCTCGGTAAGTTAAAAACCTCTACAACTTCAAAAAAATAATATATTCCTTTCCCGTCAGAGCCCAAAACCTCTACAACATAAACCCTTGATAACTTAAAACCTCTATAAATTAGAATATTTTGTGTTTCCCTTGGACTTAAACTTATCGAGGTTTATTTATTTATTCATACAAGTATACACAACAGCTAATTTAATCACACAATTACATAGGAAAATAGAACAAGTATACACAAAACAGATAAATTAGCCAACAGGTGCATAACTACATTGTAACAAACAATTTGTTGAGGTTCATTTTTCTAAGTAAGTACATAAATTATAAAGCGCTAAACAAGATCACGTATACATATTGATATTTCTTTAAATTAGTTTAGATTTTATTTTATTTTTGAAGCTACTTTTTGATAGGTGAAAAATATCTACATCGCTGAAGTGTTCATTGTACAGGTGGGGTAATCGAGTTAAAATGGAATTTTTACCATAACTAGTTCGATGATATGGAACGTAAAACAATCCTGTATTTCGAGTGCGTCTCTTAGGAGCAGAGAGGTTCTACTGTAACATGCAATGAAAACCAACTGTTACCTGTTCACATGGTATGGGACCTTCCACTTTCCTCATTTGACTCGGGTACATTTTCCTCTCATTCGGATCTCTCCTATCTCTTATCTCTCTCCTTCCTCTTGGCTTTCTACCTTTTTTCGGTTTATTAGGGTCATTTGAATCCCTGAAATTAAAAGGATTACTCATCTATACTATTATAATAAAGTGTAAACACACACTTCTTTGTTGCCTAAGATGTCAGCAATTACACCATTTTTTTGAATAATACTTTTTTTAATTAAAAGCCCTACACTTACGTCATGCTTTAGGTTACATATTTTCACGCCATTAAACTTAGTGGGTAATTATTTTGGATAAAAACCCTAATGTGGTAAAGAGACCATAAGTTGCTGCCAACACCAAGGCTGCCATGGTTTGTCAACGTCATGTCATTTTGACATTTGCAATTGACAATTTGACACATGTAATCAATCAATAAAATAATATTATGCTGATGAAATCGCACGGGAACAACTAGTTGTTTATATTTGTCAAATGTCAAAATGACATGACACGATCTTTCTTGATGTTGGCAGCAACTATGGTATCTTTCTCACATAGGGGTTTTTATCCAAAATATTTACCCTCTAAGTTTAATGGCGTGAAAACATATAGTCTAAAGCGTGACGTAATGTAGGGCTTTTTATCAAAAAAATAATTATTCAAAAATATGGTGTAATTGCTGACATGTTAGGCAACAAAGAAGTGTGTGTTTACGCTTTATTATAATAGTATAGATAGATATAGATTTTAGAGAGTAGTAGTAGTCATACCAATATTATAAATGCAAAAGTTTAGATGGATGTTTGTTAGAGTTTGTTACTTAAATTGCTGAACGGGTCTCGATGAAATTTGGTACACATATAGAAGATATTCTGAAAGAACACATAGGTTACTCACTTTTTTTTTATTCCACGCGGACGAAATCGCGAGCGAAAGCTAATAAATAAATAAAATAAAATTCAAATTAAGAGGTACATCTAATAATGAATATAAACTCACTTATCACCAGTATTATGTTTTGCGGAGACCATCAGATGTTTCCGGTAAGCCTCTTCTGAGATAAACCTCACATCACAAGATGTACACAATGGACCGTCTTCTGGTACCTGAAATAAAAAATAACTAATATAAACTACATTTCTCTCCGAAGTAACAAAAGTTAGGGGCCTGTCCCACCACCCAAAAACCAAATCTTGCTTCTTTACTATTGGCTTGTAGTTTGTCTCTTTCTCATATTAAATTTTTTCCGATTCATTCACCCACTAAATTAGCGTAAAAATATCTAACTCATAGCATGATTTCTGGCATCCTACACCACAAAGTAATGTGTGTTTACGCTTTATTATATTAACTAGCTGATCCCGTGCGACTTCATCCGCATGTAATTATGAAAATGTTATTTCATTGTTTACATTCATCAATCAATTGCAAATGTCAAAATGACATGACATGACCAAACTTGGCAATCTTGCTTCCTTGATGTTGGCAGCAACTTATGGTCTCTTTCCCACATTAGGGATTTTATCCAAAATATTTACTCCCTAAGTGTAATAGCGTGAAAATATATATCCTAAAGCGTGACGTAAGTGTAGGGCTTATTATTAAAGAAAGAATTATTCAAAAATATGGTGTAATTGCTGACATCTTAGGCAACAAAAAAGTGTGTAGATAAATTCAATATGTTAGTACAAAAGTATATCTTACCTTGTCACTCTCGAGTCGATGTTTCAACTTCTTATGTAGTTCTATCCCTTTCTCACTTACAAAGGAATAGCCACAAAGTTCACATACAAAGTCCGAAGGATGTTTTATACGAATATGGCCCATATATGTAGTAAATTTACTGAAAAAATTAATAAAATCACATAATATTATGTAAAAATAAAATTAGGTACTCATTTTCTTTTATTAAATATACTATTTTGGTAACAACTCAATATTCTACACAATAATAATAATTCAAAGTTACTCTAGTAATAATTAACTGAAAGTTACTTTAACGAAATAAATTAGTAAACTCAGTTACATAATAAATTATTTAGACAAAGTAACTCTGAAATTAATTAACTGAAGGTTACTCACACAAATTAAAAAAAATAAAACTCAAAAGTCATAAATATAATTCAATCTCAAAATATTTATTTAACTCAAAGTTACTCTCAAATTAATTAAATAAAAGTTACTCTCACGTAAAGAAAAAAACAAACTTAAAAAGACATGAGTTTACTCAAAGGTTATAACTTTAATTGAATCTCAAAATATTTGTTTAACTCAAACTTACTCTCAAATTAATTAACTAAAAGTTACTCTCACGTATATTAAACAAAAATCAAACAGAAAATCCAAAATTAAATAAACGTGGGTTTACTCAAAGGTCATAAATATATTTTCTTCTCAAAATTTGTTTTTTTTTTTTTTAATATGAGGTGGAAAACGAGCACTATAAGCCCTACAGTGCGAAGATGTTAAAGCGGAGTCTACTCAAAGTTACTCTCAAATTAAATAACTAAAAGTTACTCTCCTAATAATTAGTAACCTCAAAGTAACTCACAGGAACTCCTCTTGGCAATGCGGACATTGGTATTTGGTTCCCTTGTGCCATCTCTCGTGAAGTCTCGCCGTCTGACTGACACACAGAAACATAACAATATGTATGTTGGAAAAAAATAACATTTCACTCTAAAATAACAAAAGATGAACATCTAAAAGAGAAACTAGAAACAATATGTTTCTGAACCTCCATTTTGTTTTAAAATGTATTTATATTAGTAACTAGCTGTTCGCGTGCGGCTTCATCCGCATGAAATTATAAAATTATTGTTTGCATTTGTCAAATTCTCAATTGCAAATGTCAAAATACCAATTACCTTACTATTGCAATTTTGCTTCCTTGATGTTGGCAGCAACTTATGGTCTCTTTCCCACATTAGGGTTTTTATCCAAATTATTTACCCCCTAAGTTTAATGGCGTGAAAATATTATGGCCTAAAGCGTGACGCAAGTGTATGGCTTTTTATTAAAATAAGAATTATTGAAAAATATGCTGTAATTGCTGACATCTTAGGCAACAAAGAAGTGTGTGTTTACGCTTTATTATAACAGTATAGATAGTTAGTCCAAGGTAAACACAAAATATTTTAAGTTATAGAGGTTTTAAGTTATCAAATGTCTATGTTATAGAGGTTTTGGGCTCGGATGGGAAGGGAACATATTATTTTTTGAAGTTACAGAGGTTTTTAAGTTACCGAAGTATGAACTATCAAGATTCTACTGTAGTGTTTAACTCACCGATGCGTAGTGACATAATTGCATTGGTTACAGCTAAACCTCTGCGTGTGGTGCGCGGTGACGTGCTTACGTAAAGCATGGGAATGTTTGAAGTGTATCTTACAGATCTCACATTCGTATTCACCGCATTGCTGAAAGAGATAGATGTATGTAAATATTAGTACGTTAGAGAAGGACAATTATAGGTAAAAATTCGTGTTAGAGAAGGACAGTTATATATAAAGATAAGCATGTTAGAAACGGATAGACATAGGTAAAGATAAGAGTGTTAGAGTGTTAGAGAAGGGCAGATTTAGGTAAAGATTAGTGTTAGAGAAGGACAGATATAAGTAAAGATAAGAGTGTTAGAGGACAGATATAGGTAAAGATTAATGTGTTAGAAAAAGATAGGTGTATGTAATGATATGTAAGTTAGAAAAGAAAGAACGTTGGTAAAGATTAGTATGTTAGAAAAGGACAGATGTAGGTAAAAATTAGTGTGTTTGAGAAGTATAGGTGATTGGTTAGGACAAATGTAAGCATGTAAAGAATAATGTTAGAGTAGGACAGATTTAGGTTAAGAATAGTGTGTTAAAGGACAACAAAGTTAAGATTTAGTGTGGTCGAGAACAGATAAAGATTAGTAAGTTAGAAAGACAGATATAGGAATATTTAGCCAGTTCATTAGAAAAGGACAGGTATAAGTACAGAATTTTGGTAAAGAACAGACATAGGTATACATTTGTGTGTTAGAGAAGTACAGATAAAGTTAAAAAATACTGGGTTAGAAAAGGACAGATATAAAGAATCGAGATTTAGAGCAGAACAGATGTATATCCCATAAACATATAAACAACATTACTACATTTTCTACCGAATTAGTGGAAATATGTTTGTAACTTAATTTCATTTTTCAAAAATGAAACAACATAAAGTTTGTACATTTAAAAAATAATCAAAGATATAAAAAAAAACTTACATCAGTATGTCTAGTCATATGAGAATTATATGCATCTTCATCTAAAAATCCTTTAAAACAAGCAGTACATTTGAACACAGACTTTTTATAATTAGAAGACTCTCTTCTCTTCTCTATTTCTGCTATTTGCTCATCAACAGATAAATCAGTTATAGTAAAAAGTGTTTCGTTTAAATCATCATTCAGAAACGGTTTCCTTCTTCTATCAATCTTTGGTTCCGTCGGCTCTTTCTTCTTCTTAACTACTTTCTTCTTAGTTCTTCTTTTTTCTAGAGGTACACTATCATCAGATGAATAGTTCTCGTCCTTAATAGATCCAGTCTCATCTAAGAATATTTCATTTTTTATTTCTAACTCAATCTCTTCTGTTCCTTCTGTATTTTCTTTGTATTCTATATATATGTCATAGTGGTCTGGTTTATAATATTTTGTTGTTAATTTAGATTCCAAATTATATTTTTTATTTAGATCTTGTACTTTTTGTTCTGTAATCTGGAATTTTATTAGTCAAATTTTAAATATAATCTATACTATCATAATAAAGCGTAAACACACTTCTTTGTTGCCTAAGATGTCAGCAATTACACCATATTTTTAAATAATTCTTTTTTTTAATAAAAAGCCCTACACTTACGTCACGCTTTAGGCTAAAGGGTTAACCGCCATTACATTTAGGTGGTAAATATTTTGGATAAAAACCCTAATGTGGGAAAGAGACGTAATAGACGATGGAATAGAGATAAATTGCTGCCAACATTGTCAAGTCAATTGTCAATTGCCGAGCAAGGTTGTAATCATGTCATTTTGACATTTGTAATTGATAATTTGACAAATTTAAACTATGAAATAAAATTTTCATAATTTCATGCGGATGAAGTCGTACACTCACTCACACACCCAAACACATGTATTTGATCATATATATACCTAGACTAATAGAAGGCACTGACTCCTGTAATACAGGTCCCCACTTAGCTCAGGAAGCAGAGCCCAATGATTATTGTTCAACAGATCGTATTAATAAAGTGTTTTTTTAATAACCGCATCATGCCAGTAGCTGGCATACTGTACTAGTATTTAAAGTTACTCACCATTTCTTGTTTATCAACAATTCCCATCATAAGTTCAAATGATCGTAGAGTTTTTCGTCTAAAATTCTGACAAGAGAGTAGTCTATGAGCACATTCTGAGCACAAACTTTGAGGTAGATTGTCTTTTACCTGAAAACAATACAAAAGGTCTATGCATCTGCACTAAGTGGTAGAGCCCGCTTTAACATGTTCCCACTATAGGGCTCGCTCTCAGTAATACCACGACCACAGACAGGCGTGAAGTGGAAGCAATTCCGCCTACAGTCTGATGAGTGTGGTGCCGGAGGACTAAGTTTAGTCCCTTTCCCTTTCCACCCGTTTCTTAAGAGGAAAGTATGGGAAGGAAAAGAGGATTTGACAGTGAAGGAGACTCATAGCAAGGGGAAATAACCTCTTTATGTGCGTCTCCTCCGTCAACGAAGGGTAGGCAGCGCATCTGCAATTGCGGATGTCTATGTGCAGCGGTCGCTTTATATTTCGGTGGATTCAGGCCGATTTCTCGTTTGCCACCTTATATTATAAAAGAAAACTAGATTTAAAAAAAAATTCCGCTCAGTAAGTTGTGAGTCCAATAGTACAAATATTTCCTCTTTATATTATTAGCTAAGAACTAATACCCAATACAAACAAGCTTTCGCCCGAGAATCTGCCCGCGTGGGTTTCTTGTTCCAGACCCTCTACATCTATAGATCGTTCATAAAGATCCATTCAGCAGTTTACGAGATATATTTTAACAATGAGTTTGTATCAAAAATACAAATCTTCATATTAGTACTAGCTTACGCCCGCGACTCCGTTCGCGTGTATTTAAAAAAACGAACTAGCCTATGTGTTCTTCCAGACTATGCTCTGCATCTATTCAAATTTCAAGATAGATTCAGCCGTTTAAGCTACAAACTCTAACAAACATCCATTTATCTAAACATTCGCATTTATAATATTAGTAAGATAGACCCTTTTTCCACTAAGACTAAACATCAAATATCGTCATCAACTTGCCCTTATCTCTACAGAGGGTCGGCACAGTGCTGCTCTTCCATACATCTCTATCAGCCATATCTGAATCCACTCCTTCCTTAAGCATATTTTCACACAATCCATACTTTCTTCGGTCGTCCTCTACCTTTGTAGTCCACATTCATTCTTAACAGTTTCTGGGCTATGTCCCCATCGTCTCGTCGCATAACATGTCCATACCACACTTACATTTCACTTCTCAATTTCTCCACCTCTGGAAAATAAATAAATCTTCAACTTGCCCTTATCCCTTAGGGAGGGTCGGCACAGTATGTGCTCCATACATCTCTATCAGCCATATCTGAATCCACTCCTTAAGCATATTTTCACACAATCCATACTTTCTTTGGTCGTCCTCTACCTTTGTAGTCCACATCCATTCTTAACACTTTCTGGTTACGCCCCATTCTTTCGTCACATGTAAACAACAAATGTATAGTCATAATTAAGTTATCTTTGTACTTACATTCAATCCAGTAATATATTCATATGCTTGATCTAATTGGTATGTATGAATCGAATACAATCTCCTATCCATTGCCAAACATATTCTGCACACCTGAAAATAATATAAATAAAATTAATCTTAATATGAGAAATTATAATTCCACTGGCCGCTTGACTTCGCTTGAGTGAAATTAAAAAATATAGCATACTAGGAATCAAAGTGAGACTAAACAGTTATGCAATCATCATCATCATCACCAGCTCACTATAGGTCCCCACCGAGGGGCACGGAGCCTACCCTAAGTAAGGGTGACTAGGCCATAGTCAACCATGCTGCACTGCGGGTTGACTTCACGCATATCTTTGTAATTTCGTCGCCGATATGTGCTGCATCACTATGTTTTCCTTCACCGTAAGAACGTCGGGTAAATCACGTATGAAAATTCGAAAAATCGAAAATCACAGGTACAGCGGGATTCGAACCCAAGAACTGTAGATTACAAGTCAAGTGCTTAAACCACTGAGCTCTCGACGCTCTTGTGCAATAGTATAGTCAAAAATGCACACTCAGATAAATTCAGAGATAAAGACAAGATTTTTATAGAAAGGATTACCTTTAAATTCTGCATTTCTTCCACAGGAGCGTCCTGTAAAAATTAATACATAACTAATGCAATATTCTGGTTACATTTGTAATGTAATAGGTAAATTGTCATTTATATTAATCATATACAAATATTATAAAAGCGAAATTTACGATGGATGAATGTTTGTTAGAGTTTGTAGCCTAAACGGCTGAATGGATCTCCATGAAATTTGGCACAGGTTTAGAGCACATAGGCTACTTTGTGTCCTGGGAATAGTTACAGTTCCCGTGGGATTCATTAGTTTTGTATTTTTAAAGTTTACTCGTTCATTCTGTAATGGTTCAACATATCTTATTGAAATTTGACACAGATATAAAACAAAGTGTGGAGTACACATGGGATTAGGTTCATCCCCGAGAAATATCCGGTTTCCGAGGGATACATAGTACTATAAAGCAGAATTGTTTTTTGTATGTATTGGAATAACTCAAATACTGAGCCGATTTAAAATTCTTTCAACATTTAAACAAGCCCATTGAAGTGTCAAATGAATTTACACACCTTAATCACAGGCACAGCTCCCGGTTTTATTTTCCGTAATCCACCCCTAGTTTCATACAAATCATCACAACTGAAATGCTCAGAGCATACAGCACTCCTCTCTTTTGCTACCCAGGTTTCTTTACCAAGTGCTTTCAGCCAGGACGCACGGATAGTCTGTTCAGCAGGAATTCTGGAATTATGTATGCAATAACAATTAATTATTTGTCTACTATAGGTGTTCTAAAGTTGGTAAGTAAGGAAAAACATAGGAGATGTACAAGAGAATGAAATTATGACGCTTTTTGCGTTTTAATTACAAATATACTTGTACTATGGTAAATGCAATTTTGTATAACAAAAGTAAATATGAATGGTTATCTCTACAATTACTGTAAATAGGAGACGGTATTCTCATTAAATATTATTCTTCATGTAAATAAATGTTTTTATATCGGATTTCATGATAAATGTATGGAAAAAGTGTAAATGTATACATCAACTTACACATGAAATGTTATACCCTGGGATTTCGTCAATTGTCTGGTATCATTTTTACAATTCGGTGCACAACAGCGCATTTTAATTTGGTTTTATTTTACAAAAACACTTTACGATTCAGTCATTTTTTTCGCTTTACCTAATATTATCCGACCCATTTGTAACTGGCCCCAGAAAAGTCAACAAGTAAAGTTTTTTACTCATCGTCCTCTTGACTGCGTGGGTTACTACATTTGGGCGTATAACACACGCCAAGGGAGTAAGATTTGTATAGGTTTTTCACTCTCTCGCGAACAAAATAGTATATATTTGTCTCGCTTGCACAGGGAACAGTAAGGGATAGTTCTACAAGGATCTAACAGCAGTCATATAATATGTGACCTAACAATGTCACTTTGACAGCGAAAAATTTGGGAGCTTCAATTGCATTGTTTCATATAACATTTTCAATAACTTTTCTTAAAGAAATTGCTGTAATAAGAGGTAATAGGAATAAAATTGGTTATGTATTTTAAAAGTTTAAAGTGAAAATTACCTGCAAAATGTTACCTTAGTGTGTTTGTTGTGTCACAGATGGCGTTGGTTTAATTTTTTTTGAACATTTAGCGTAAAATATATTCGGAAAAAAATATTCTTAATTTTTTTTTGTTTATTCATCAAATACAGAGTACAAAATACAATAAAAGCATGTATAAACCCAAACTATACATTATCTGCCCTTATATTACTTTACATTTATCTTTAGATAAGAGGTAAAAAAAAAGACGAATAGTGAACCCCCCTCTTTTTGAAGTCAATTAAAAAGTTAAAATTAAAAACACAAAATGGCCGCCATGTATGGCAATTTGTCGTTACTGTAAACTTTGTTTTCTTTCGGTGTTAAATAAAAACATTAAAATGAGATGCGTTGATGTTTATTTTTAATATTTAAAAATATCGAAGTTATAGTTATGAGAAATCATTTCTTAATACCGCATCATCTATATCGTAGTTCATAATTTCGTCGTCTCCGGCTCGTCCGATTAATTTTTCCAATTCTTCACTGACAGTTTCTCTTTCTAATGTCTTTCTTGTAGTTATTTCTTCACTGACATCAAGTATCGGTGGATATTTGCCGACCCGTTTTTGTATACGCTTAATAAAATTATCAAGTTCTCTTCGATTTGAGAAAACATGGTTGATAACTGAAAAAAAAAACGGATTAAAAAAGTTTCTATTGATGAAACAGAGTACAAAAAACCCTTTACCATTCTGCTAGTTAGATAAAAATACCAAATTCCTACTTACAACACTATAGCCTATATAACTCAGCAGTAATGTAGCTTTTTAATAGTAAATAAAATAAATAAAATAAAAATAAAAATTTTTTAATAGTAAAAGAATTTTTTAAATCGGCCTATTAGTTATTGAGTTATTTCAATACATACAAAATCGGTATTTCCAAACCGATACGACTTAGGGTCCTTCAAGACGCGAGCTTACAGCGTCAAAGGCAACGCATCTGTAGTTCCTCTGGTGTTGATGTCCATGGGCGTCGTTGACCACCTCTTTGTTCCCGCAGCTCGTTTGTTCTATTCTCTTACAAAAAAAACTACAAATCTTGCCTCTTTATAACATTTATACTTACATAAGATTATTAGCAAATACGAAGTTAAAATTGTCTTCATTGTGAAGGAATCGAATTACGATTGAAAGGACAAGCTAGTCTTAAAGACGATTTTTTTCAATTACATCTTATCAGTAACAAATTACGTTAGGATAGAAGTAATTTCATGCTTAAATTGTAATTAACAATTGTTTAACGGTCAAATGTTAGCTTTTTTTTTCAAATTTAGACACAAATCTGTTAATTATTCTAACAGTGGTAGTGCCCGCTTTAACATCTTAGCACTGCAGGGCCGGCACGCCCGGTGTAATACCACGACCACACAGAAGACAGGCGTGAAATGGAAGCAATTCCGTGTTTCGTCTGATGAGTGTGGTGCCGGAGGCCTAATTTAAGTCCCTTTCTCTTTACCACCCTTTTCTTATAAGGAGAGGTTGGGATGGGGAAGTGGATTTGACGGTGGACGAGATGCATAGAAAGGGGAAATATGCTCTTTATGTGCGTCTCCTCTTCCGTCGTATAAGGGTAGGCAACGCATCTGTAATTGCGGATGTCTATGGGCAGCGGTCGCTTCGCCATTTTGGCGCCGCTTGCTCGTTTGCCACCTTATGCTATAAAAAAAAAATTCTTGTGATAATTTAAATCACGTCTAGATAATAAGCGTTAACTAGGATACAAAGCGTTTTTACTACCCTCATTTGCTTTCCTGATGAAACCTAGATTACGTGAAAGAGCACATTTTTTAAACATGTAACCGGGTTGCCAAATCTTATCCTGGCAAGGCTATGTTTAATTGATCTCTGAAGTGGATTAAGGATTTTCCATCATCTGCCCAATTAGGAATCTTCTCTTTTGTTGCAATGCTTACTTAATTTGCAGTAGAACAACGTTTTCGGTTACTGTACCCAATTACCTAACCTGTATCCATGCCACTAACACTTAAAATAACGTTGCAAATAACCTATGTTAAGCCCAAATAAGCCGCTCATTAATATTATGGTATAAACCGACCGAATTAAAAACGCGCCTAAAACGTGAAAGCGTATTATGAGTGAAAGTGTCTTTAACGTGGTCGTATTAAGCGGGTTCTACTGTATTTTTTAGAATTGCTCGTATTTCCAGTTAGTGTGGCTAAACCTTTACAACCCGATGAGTCAAGTCATGTCTATTTACGTGATTGAGTATAACCCCTAAGCTTTGTTGCCCTGCCTTTGCAATTGCCTACCAATAACAAAATTAACCTCTAAACACACGAATACACTCGAAAAGCAAACTTATGGCTTCGCAATAAGATTTATTTGCTGATTATATGGACGTAAGGGTAAAATTGTGATTATCCCAAGCCCTTTTTCTGAGGTGTCTGTGATTGGCTTATGAGGAATTTTGCGCGCGCAACGAAAACGGACAATTTTCGTTTGTGAAGAATTATTGATGTACATTGCTGTTTATGTCCACTAGTTTGATTTTAATGTGCAAGGAATGAAGCAATGTATAACGAATTCTATACATTGTCGTTTTACATCAATTTGTGTAGTGTTGAGGACATCCCGTTTTCCTTTTCAGTCAGTTACGGGATTTCTTTTGCAACACTTCAATTTGTTGGACAAAAAGTTTATTTTAAAGTTTGTTTTAAAGTAAAAATATAATTAAAATCGTGATGAAATGTGTAAAAAAAAGGTCGGATTTCCAAAAATAAAAATGTTTAAAACAACAATAATAACATAATTTAAATTTACACAACTCAATTATTATTGATAATTTTTTTAAATCCTTTAATCGATAAATCACAATTCTTTTTCTGTACAACTATAAAACCTGTGTCTTTATTTAAATTAAAAAAATAACTGTCAAAATACAGGGTAGGAATTAAAAATCTTTATTCAAAAGTACAGAGTTGCATTTATAATTAAATAAAAAACAAAATGGCGAATGTGGGTAAAGTTTTAGCTACAATAAAAGCTGTTATAACAAGATTGGTGTTTGCTTGCCATGGTATAATTGCTATCTGGCAAGTAACGGTGTTCAAACACAGTATAGAATATTGGTATTTAGCGTCACCCATATTGTTATTAATACTTGAAGGTGTATTTACTCTCACAATAAAAGACAATCAAGAGTGGAAATGGTAAGTATATATACGCAGTTTTTAAATTAATTTTAACAACAAACATGGTTAAAAAATAAAACGCAATTACTTTGTGATATTATTTACTTATAAAACGAATATATTCATACAAATAATATAAATAAAATTATCATTATTATAGAAGGAACACAAAATATATAGAAATAGAAAAATAGATCTACGTATATTATTCATAACTAGCTTTCGATCGAGACTCCGTCCCTGGAATTGAAAAACGTAGTAAGTAGCTTAAGTGTTTTTCCAGAATAATTTTCATAAAATTGTGCCTTTCATTCCGTTGAAATAAAAAGAAGAAATTAATAAACATAACCTATGTTACTCACAGATAACCTTTTAGCGGTGAAAGAATTTATAAAATCGGCCCAGTAGTTTGAGCCTATTCATTACAAACAAAGTTTTCCCTCTTTATAATTTTAGTATAGATAAGACAACCTCCTCCTTTTTGAAGTTGTATCTGTACTATTATAATAAAGCGTAAACAAACACTTCTTTGTTGCCTAACATGTCAGCAATTACAGCATATTTTTGAATATTTTTTTTTAATAAAAGGCCCTACACAGTCACGCTTTAGGCTTTATATTTCACGCCATTAAACTTAGGGGGTAAATATTTTGAAAAAAAACCCTAATGTGGGAAAGAGACTATAAGTTGCTGCCAATATCAAGGAAAAAAGGTTGCCAAGGTTTGTCATCATGTCATGTCATTTTGACATTTGCAATTGATAATTTGACACATGTCACATTAATTTGACACAAAATAAAATTTTCATAATTTTAGGCGGATAAAGTCGCACGGGAACAGCCAGTTTTTCATATTTCTACTCGTTAGGATGAGGACATAAACAAGAAAGTGTTACGAATGCATGTGGATGGCTACAAAGGTAGAAGACGGCCGAAGAATGTAATTGTGTGAAAGAGGATATGCTTAAGAAGGGAGTGGATTCAGATACGAAGAGCAGATTATTCCCGTTAATTTTCGCGCCTTTTTCTTAATATCACAGTATATTTAAATACTTTTGTTCTGTTCGACCTTTTATATTGTCACCCCGTTAGACTGACATTTAAGGGCTTTATGAATGACCAGCGACGTGGAAAGCTAAACTTTGCATTAAATAACAAACAGATGTGAAAATAATTGAAGGGTATAAAATAAAAGACGATACAGTACAATTAAAAAAAAAACTATGCATATATAAAGCAACAATTTATGTTAAAACGAGCTGTTGCCCGCGACTTCGTACGCGTGGTATGAGAAAACATACGAACTATTTAAATTACAAAAAGCTACGTATCCCGGGAACCGGACATTTCTCGGGGATGAAGCTTATCCCATGTGTACTCCAGACTTTGTTTTATATCTGTGATAAATTTCAATAAGATTTGTTGAACCGTTGCTGAATGATCGAGTAAACATTAAAAAACTAAATTAATTAATCCCACGGGAACCGTAACTATTCCCGGGATAAAAAGTAGACTATGTGTTCTTCCCGACTATGTTCTAAACCTGTGCCAAATTTCAGCCGTTTAGGCTACAAACGCTAACAAACATCCATCCATCCATTCATCTAAACTTTCGCATTTATAATATTAGTAAGATTGTTAGGTTAAAAAATTTGGACTGAAGGGTATATTTTTTGAGATTGTGAAATATAATAATTTAAATATGTTTGTAAAATGGCGTTATATTGTGTTGGCTTTTTTTAGTGACGGTATAATTATGTAATTTGCTAAAACTGTCCGCGATGACAGCGCCATCTTTTATGACAGGAACCGGATGTCATTAGTGGGCACACTGAGTCAACATTTCTCTGCCGCACCTTGTTAACTATTAAGATATCAAATAGTACCCTCGTATAGATGTTGAATTAGTTTTATTAAAGACTCCAAAAATCAAACAAAAAAATGGGACCCACCTGCAGGCATAAAAAGTATTATCAAAATCGGTCCACTAGCGGTGGAATTATGCCATAACTTACATAAAAAAAATAAAAAATAACATACAGACGAATTGAGTTACCCCCTTCTTTTGGGAAGTCGGTCAAAAAAACCAATCATTTAATAGTCAATATCTTTTATACTGTAATCTCTGTAACATCTAAATCTATACAGTTATTCTGGCCCAGTAGTTTTTGAGTTATTTCAATACATGCAAAAATACAAATGTTTCCTCTTTATAATGTAACGAGCTGTTGCCCGCGACTTCGTCCGCGTGGTATTAAAAAAACATACGAACTATATAAATTACAAAAAGCTACGTATCCCAGGAACCGGACATTTCTCGGGGATGAAGCTTATCCCATGTGTACTTCAGACTTTGTTTTATATCTGTGCCAAATTTCAATAAGATATGTTAAACCGTTGCAGAATGATTGAGTAAACATTAATAAACTAAATTAATGAATCCCATGGGAACCGTAACTATTTCCGGGTTAAAAAGTAGCCTATGTTTTCTTCCAGACTATGCTCTAAACCTGTTCCAAATTTTATGGAGATCCGTTCAGCCGTTTAGGCTACAAACGCTAACAAACATCCATCTATCCATCCATCTAAACTTTCACATTTATATTAGTAAGACTATACTACCTGTTTCCGTGCGGCTTCTTCATTAGTCAAATTCTCAATTTTAAATATCAAAATTACAGTTACCACAATAACCTTGTTTCATTAATATTGGCACCTTGTAGTTTATGGTCCTGTTCCCTCATGAAGTTTTCCAATTTATTTACCCTCTAAGTTGAATAACGTCAAAATAAAGCCTAAAGCGTGTAAGGGCTTTTTATTAAAGAAAAAAAATATTGAAAAATATGCTGTAATTGCTGACATCCTACGCGACGAAGTAGTGTGTGTTTATGCCTAATATTAATATAGATGTAACCAGATAGACTAGTGTTTAACTATCCGTACTAAAGCTGGTTTTAACACAGGTTCTGCCCATCCGTCTTCATCTACTTGGGTCTGGTGGTGCCAGCGATATGGCTACTAGAACTACACAAAGTAGACCTGAGACTGCAAAAGATAGCCAACGTTACAATTATAGAGGTAAGTATCAATTTACCTAAATTACCTTGAAACGTTTGACGTCACGTTTATGTTTTCGTTACACGAAAGAGATAGATATATCTTACTGTAGATAAAGCGTACCAAAACAAACGAAATAAAACTATTATTGAGGCAAATGAATAAATGGGTTTTTCATTTTGATAGAATATCGAAGTGCATTATAAAATTAATTATTTTAATAGCGTTACTTACAGTTGGGAAACTGGCAGGGTACACCCTTTAAAGCTACAATCATTGGAAGTTTTTAAAACGAGATTCGGAACAAAAACAAATACAACGCAGCTTATGGCTAGTTTCCTTTTATTATTATCCCTTCGTTTGCACTCACTGCTCAAATGACTTATTTGTAGGGAGAGGTAGAATTTGTCTTGTTGACACCGCGCATTTCCTCGACTGTACCTTTAATTGACTTATAAGGGGGTAGAAAAGAAATACATCGTGACTACACCTTCCCTTCCCTGCCAAAATGTTATAGTTTTAAGTTTTCGTCATTGGACGATACGATAGCTACCATCCTTACCATCTCGTTGGCTGGCATTCCAAAACCGTGCGGTTTCCGCTGAACTCTCTGGCTTGCACAGCCGCGTTGTGCAATGTATCCTCGGCGGTATATCCAAACCAATACAACTTAAGGACCTTCAAGAAGCGCGCCTATAGCCTCAAAGGCAGGCAACGTATCTGTAGTTCCTCTGGTGATGCGGATGTCTATGGCGTCGTTGACCACCTTGGTGTTCTCGTCACTCGTTTACCCCCTTTCATTATTAAACAAAATCATTTTCTTTTCTATAGCCTGGTCTCCCTATACCCGGTGCTACCAAGATTCCTACGGATATGTGGGTAACTCTTATCGAGCAGTTTTTGATGTTAACACTGATTGTGGGTCGCTGGTTGTTACCTAAAGGAGATCTGACGAGAGATCAGCTCAGTCAATTGTTACTAGTTTACATAGGTGAGTGATACTTACGAGATGTTTTGATATATTAACTATTCCCGTGTTCATCCGCATGACATTATAACATTTTATTTTACTTGCTTTCATCCGCTACTCCGTCCGCGTAAAATTAAAAAAGTGAGTAGCCTATGTGTTCTTCCAGACTATCCTCTACATCTATACCAAATTTCATCGAGATCCGTGCAGCCGTTTAGGCTGCAAACTCTAACAAACATCCATCCATCCATTCATCTCTACAGTGGTAGAGCCCGCTTTAACATCTTTGCACGAGTAGGCCAGCTCGCCCGGTGTAATACCACGACCATACAGAAAACAGACGTGAAGTGGAAGCAATTCCGCATTTCGTCTGATAAGTGTGGTGCCGGAGGCCTAATTTTAGTCCCTTTCCCTTTCCACCCTTTTCTTCAGAGGAAAGGATGGGAAGGGAAAGTGGATTTACGGTGGAGGATACGCATAGGAAGCGGAAATGTCTTTTTGTGGGTATCCTCCTCCGTCAATGAAGGGTAGGCAGCGCTGCAATTGCGGATGTTTATGTGCAGCGGTCGCTTTCCATTTCGGTGGATTCAGGCCGCTTGCTCGTTTGCCACCTTATAATATATATAAAAAAAATATATATATTGATATGGTCTTGCTATTGCTTTTTTCGCTTTTGTCCCATTTTCGCATAGCAATTTTTTCCTATCTGTTTTATTTTATGTTTTTTAACACGGTATGAATATTTCTCAACAGGTACCGCTGCCGATATAATCGAGTTCTTTGATTCGTTCAAAGACGAGAAAGTGGCCACCGAGAAGGTCCTGGTCCTGCTAACCCTGGCCATCTGGTCGTGGTCTCTGGTGCAGTTTACGGTGGTCCTGACCGCGACCAAATCGAGGAAGACCAGGGGCACCGCACATAGGTCTGAAATGTACGTACAATTATGACGCACGCCCGCTTTCATACAAGCACATCATTAAACACTGACCAGAAATATAAAACACCTCACCATATTGAAAAAAAAATATAGTTAACTATAGTGTGTAAATAATTTAGATTAGTTTGACAATTAATTTCAAATTTAGTAGGGATGGGTTGTGTAATCAGTCATGAATCTTATCGATTTTTATTCTTATAGAAGTTGGGATCGATAGATTTATAGTTATAACTTATGAAATAAAACAAACACTGTTTTCTCAAATTAATAATGACCATAACAAATAATGAGAACGAATAAATGTTTATTACTACTACAGCCGTACGTAATCGAATTGGATTTCGCTATTATTTCTGTCATCGCTAAATTCTCTATACTATAATCAATACTAGAATTGTCCTCTAAATTAGTGAAAAAGAAAATAATAATTTAGTCGAGTTTGATAATTATTTAAACCGAATATCGATAGTTCATAATTGTTCGCTGCGTGTTTCGTCACTACGATACCTGTCTATTAAGTATGACATTTGTATGATATAAATTGAATTCGATACTTCATATGCGTCATTTATCAAACTAATCTATCTTATTTAGACAAACAAAAAGAGAGAGTGTATTTATGTATGTATATTGAATGTATTTACAGTTGTATGCGTATTTGGGCAATGGAAATACTTTGTGGAAACTAGCAAAAAAACTTCATTTCTTACAAATAATACATTTTAGGAAAAAAAATTACATAAAAAACTAAAACATCCGTCAAAAACCCAATTCGAATCTCTCTGTTATTCGTTCTATTTTTGACCGACTTCCCAAAACAAGGAGGTACTCAATTCGTCTGTTTGTTGTTTTTTATTTTTTTTAAACTTTTATTCTTCATTTATCTCACGACGCTAGTTGCCAGTAACTTCAACATAGAGAAGGTGCCCCAATGATTATCTATTTTCATGGTCATTATGTACAGCCGCTTACATAAATCTTCCATACTCTATATCTTACTAATATTAATGCGAAAGTTTATATGGATGGATGTTTGTAAGAGTTTGTAGCCTAAACTTGTGAACGAATCTGTATAAAATTTGGCATAGATGTAGAGGTTAGTCTGGAAGAACACTTAGGCTACTTACTTTTGATTTTTTTAATTCCATGATGACGGAGTCCCGGGCAAAAGCTAGTGATTGTCTATTTTCATGGTCATTATGTACAGTCGGCTACATAAATCTACATATATACTAACATAAACACGAAATATTTGTATTTTTGGATGTATTGAAATAACTCAAAATCTACTGAGCCGATTTCAAATTCGTTCACCATTAAAAAGCTACGTTATCGCTGTGTAACATAAGCTATATAATTTCACATGGACAAAGTCGCGAGCAACAGTTAGTTATGTATTTAAAAATAGACACTTTTATGTAAAATATCTTTAACCAAAGTCCTATAAAGTTTGAAAGTTTTGTAAATGTACTCATATCTATGCAGCTGACTGTACTTTTTTCCGACATTAAGGTGTGGGACTATAGCGTAATGGTTGAAGACACGGTGATGTGTTCGATATCTGCCATTAGATTATTGTGAACCTAACAACCCTACAACTTAGTTGGAACGTTTATAAAAATATCAATAACATTCGGTTATGTATATATTATTTAAAATGTAATTGAAACAAATTTTTGGGAATATAAAGATCTTCAAATAGCACAAAAACCGAGTTTCAACACTTAACATCTGTTCCGTTCACGCTGTGCTTTCCACCACGCTATGATTTACGTTCTTATAAATGTTAAAATTGTCTTCACACTTATTGCAAATTACATAAAGTTAAGACACAAAATTAATGCAATTTAATTTAATCCCCACAGGAATTCAAGCCGTGCGTGTTGTTGTTCAATAGAAGTGTGCGCTATAATAATGAATATAGCATTACAAGATGCACCATTTCTTGCATTTAGGTTGTTAATTATAGCGCATTACAAAATTATTAATTATATGAATATTTTCTTCACCTGCAAGAATACGTTGGTGAGTTCTTCAGATTCAAGATTTTGCTATTTTTATACGGCAGGGGCAAGGTAGTTTGGACTTTTATAGTCAAGCAAGGATGTTTGGCCGGTCCATCGGTTTTTTAATCAAGAAATATAATGTAAATAATACAAAAAAAATGATATACAGTTACAGTACGAAGATTTTGTTATGGTTAGTTTTTTGACAATGAAATGAAGGAGTCATAATTCAATTTGTCTTATACCAACCGGATCGAAAAACCTTGTATCTCTACATTGCCTACATTGTCACTAGTGTTTTAAGTTACTTCAAATAGTTTGAAATGTTAAGGTTTTATCAAAATTCATTGATGTAGGTTATTTTGCTGCAAATATACCGACTGTACGTGTTACATTTGGAAACCGTTGAAGAAGGAACTGGCTCTGTGTACAGAAAGAGACGGAAACACAAATCCGAAAGTAAAGAGCAGGACAAGAAACGGACGTGAGCAATTAAGATTCTAAATTAAACATTAGTTAATTTTAATTAAAATAACGTTATATTATGAATAAATAAATTTAAAAAGTGATCATATTTTTTAACATTATCTGATTTTATTTATTTTTACAGACATAGCAAACCAAGAAAACATAAAAAGAGACATGAAATAGGTGAAACTTCTGTCTCTGTCATCAGCGACCCGAGACGACAAGAAAGAGTAGATGGCGGGAGAATTAGGTAATTTTTTATCTATATCCATAGATATTATTAAATTTAATTAAACATAAGACTTTTTTTGTCTTACTTTCGTACTCCGGTTGCATCTATACTTTTCTAAATGACCTAATTGTCAATTTACTCTTGTTTTTTTGTGTTTCATTTGTCTCCTACTGATTATTTAGTAACGAGCTGTTGCCCGCGACTTCGTACGCGTGGTATTAGAAAACATACAAACTATGTAAATTACAAAAAGCTACGTATCCCTCGGGAACCGGACATTTCTCGGGGATGAAGGTTATCCCATGTGTACTCTAGACTTTGTTTTATATCTGTGCCAAATTTCAATAAGATATGTTGAACCGTTGCAGAATGATCGAGTAAACATTAAGAAACTAAATTAATGAATCCCACGGGAACCGTAACTATTCCCGGGATAAAAAGTAGCCTATGTGTTCTTCCAGACTATGCTCTAAACCTGTGCCAAATTTCATGGAGATCCGTTCAGCCGTTTAGGCTACAAACGCTAACAAACATCCATCCATCCATCCATCCATCCATCCATCCATCCATCCATCCATCCATCCATCCATCTATCCATCCAACCATCTAAACTTTCGCATTTATAATATTAGTAAGATAAGATTAGAGTTTTAAATGCACAAAGAATTATTCAAATCTGATTGTTAGTTGTTTACATTTTCGCACATAAATATTTACTTTCTGTTTTGTTTGTAGACAAGACTTGCCTTTAGCTGTTTTCGTGTCTCGTGTTGACTAGTAGGGCAAACTAATTTCGTAATAATAATAAAATGAATACTTGAAATAAGCAAAATAACGTTTCGTTTTGGGCAGCATTTTATTTACAAAACTGTGTATAGGAGGGTTGTCACCTTGGAACGTAACAAATGAAACGACACTAGTGATGTGACAATATTAGAACATTGTTTATCGATATCTGTAATAAATTCACTATTTGTAATTTTAAATGTTTTAAATCCGATGTCACCGTATTCTAATATTGTCTGATTTCGATATGACTTCAGTAAAAGAGAAAAGTTAGGAATAAGGTTTTTTTTTTACAAATAATAATGTGAACTAAAAAATATGTCACACCGTGGTATAAGAATCAACTATAAATTAAACAAAATCCAAATGAAGTCTCTAAATAAAAAAAATATAGAAACAATGGATTTCGTGAAATATTACATCATAAAAAGGTGTCATTACATATAAGACAGGCAAATGTTTTTTATCGATAGAAAATGTTTTCACATCACTAGTACGAAAGGTGTGGCCTCGGCCGTCGAGGGCCACAATCGACGGGATGACCTGTCTGTTTGTATTAGCTGTATGTATATATGACTCTGCAGTGAATTTAATGGTTCCACCGAACTCGAGCCACAGAATAAGTAATTTTGTAGTTAATAGTGTTAGGTTTTTGACTATTTTGATAAATTCTGCATTCTTAAAAGTTTTTTTTTTAGTCTGTGATTATCAATACAATTTATTCTTATTTAAAACGGCAATAATATTAGGAAATTGTAAAGAAACGGAAGGAATCACTATTCCTTCCGTTTCTTTACATTTTCCTAGTGGGGTTAGTTTTTTAAAAGTTTTGGCAAGGAGTGGCTCAGGCCCTGTCGCTAACAAGCTCAGTATTTTTTACATACTGTACGCTTTGATTTTTAAAATACGTAGAAAAGTATCAGATCTTGTTAGATTTTCTGTCTCTTTCCTCTTTTATTTCTGTTACAATAAGGTGTGTTTAAAAAGTTTGCTCTAATCTCAGGGATGTTTGATCGAATTTTAAAAAATACCTTTTGCATTTTAAAGCAAAAATATTAAGTAAAGTTACATATAAGCTATTTGACATAAGGATGATGATGATAATGTTGATAAGCTATTTTACATCAGGCTAAGAAACTTAGGGCCTAAGCAGAAAGAAAACAGAGAAAATACATAACTTAGAAAGCGATTTTTACAGTGGTAGTGCCCCCTTTAACATCTTAGCACGAATACGCCGGCACGTCACCAGTAATACCATAGTATTACCACGACCACACAGAAGACAGGCGTGAAATGGAAGCAATTCCGTGTACTGTCTGATGAGTGTGGTGCCGGAGGCCTAATTTAAGTCCCTTTTTCTTTACCACTCTTTTAAAAGAAGAGGATGGGAAGAGGAAGTGGATTTGACGGTGGAGGAGATGCATAGGAAGGAAATATCCTCATTATGCGCGTCTCCTCCTCTGTCGGATAAGGGTAGGCAACGCATCTGCAATCGGATGTCTATGGGCAGCGGTCGCGTTACCATTTTGGCGGATTCAGGTGGCCGCTTGCTCGTTTGCCACCTTATGTTATATATAAAAAAAAAGAGATGGATGGAGTGGAAGGTGACATGATCAAGAAGGGAGTGATGACTGAGATGACGTATGATAGAGTTATGGAGGACAAAAACCTGTTGCGCTAACGGGAGAAGAATAAGAAGGAAGATGATAATGAGTACAATAATGTAGGAAACATGACGATGTTTTATTTTTACAGAGCAATTATTCTAACGAATACAGATGAAATTAAAGAATTGGAGTTGACGAAACTCTTCCAAGATCAAGTCGGAGTAGAGAATGAGAAGAAGAAAGGGTAAGAATGAGTTTTTATTACCTTTTATAACGAAATACTTCGTATATTAAATGCATTACATTAGATTAATCTTTCAATTGGGCATTTTGTTATTTGACTTGCTTTTGCTCAGGGCTTCTTTATATTAAAAAAAAAAAAACATAGTCCCTAAGTGGTAATGTACTTTTTTATGGTATAAAATGTTTGAAAACAGTTTAGTAATGTGTGTATATACTTAGTTTCACATTTACAAAAATACAAATCTTTTCTCTCAAGGATCTCTTTATTTTGATGTTAATATTTTCGTAAGTTTTTAAATAGTGGTACAGCACTATTCGTATAACCAAAAAGTTACTTTTTTAAGGGAGTTAGACTGACAATCGTTTTACTCTGCAATAAGTGTAACTAACTATATTAATCTAAAAATAATATTTCAGTAAAAAGAAGAAACAAAAAGCAAACTCCTCCGAAGAATCTCTTAACAACATTCACCATACAACCGACGACTCCGGCATTTGACATCATCGGATAAGGCGGGAGAGTCCGCACAAGCATAGAGAGAAAAAAGAAGACAGACGCAAAGAGAAAAAGAGTAAGAAAAAGCAGGTCAGTAGCGAGAGTGAAAGTGACAGTTGTTCTTGAACATGGAAAGTAAAAGTTTGGTTCTTTGTCTATGGTTACGGTGTTGCCATTGAAATAATGCCGTTGTTTTTTTGGTAAATTCGTCGGGAGGATATAATATTGTTAGATTTATATAGATTTTGCTTAAAGTTATAGCTTTTATTAGAAAAGTAGCAGTATTAATAGTGCATTATTTGTTTACGCTTATTTAATAATTATTTAAAGTATTTAAAAATTAAAACTATTTAACAAACACTTTCTTCAAATGTTGTATTTAAGATATTGCTTAGTTATATGTAGATTTTACATATTTTCTAAGAGAACTAACAACCGCAGGAAAGAGATATTTGTTTGACATATTTTTGGATGTCAAGGTTTTTGTTACTAATGTGTATTTTATGCCTATAATCCTCGGGGAACTCAAGATTCATAAAATTATTGAAAACTAGTGTATAAAAACTAAGACGACAGTAAAATAGCACTGTTTTAATCGGATTTGTGCTATGCACGATTTTCTAGAATTATTTTGGTAGTGAAATGTAATTAAAGAAATAATGTACAATCTAGTGCCTTCAAAATGCCTTGTGTAGTAATTTTTAGAAGGATTTAGGATTTATAAATTATTAAAGAATTTTCTACTTTCTTACGACAGATATTTATGTATAAAAAAAAGTAGATAAAAGCTGTTGTTTGTTAATATTTTTTTAAATGTTTACAATATTTCCGTTAAATAAAGCTTTTCGTGTAGATTATCTTTCTTTTCGAAAATAAACATTTGAAAATAGAAAACCGTTAATTTTAAATTTTTTTGTTAATAAAAAAATATATTTGTACCAAATGTGAAATACCATAGACAATTTTTTTACTAAATTAATTGTTATAGGTTATTGAACAGAGTATTTGATATGTTTTATTTATATTTAGCGAAATAATGCACAAATATATAAATGTTATAAAAAAATCCGTAGATTTCTAATAAAATAAATGTTAATCAATGATGTTATTTATTTTTAATCTAATTTTTTATTAAGATTTCAATCGATTTCCTGATGTTTTTCACTCAAAGGTAAAGATTTTAATAATTTAAGGGAATATCAGGAACGTGTTTTGAATAAAATTCTTTTCACATTAGTTATACCGATTTATTCTCATTTAAATAAAATAAATTAACAATAGGATCTAATATAACACTTCTAATCAGTAGGTATTTCTGCACCGTATTTATAATAAATACTCCGCCAGAAATACGCCCGCTCAGGCGTGAGTTCCGACACATACTGAGGTTCTAAGTCAATAGCCAAGTGGTGGGAATAAGGTACCCACTCGCCGTTGTTCGTTTCTGGTGTGGGTGATCTGGAAAATAATTGTAGTACTTTTTATTCTTAACATTTAGTAATTACTAATTAATAATTTCATGCACTAAATTAAATAAAATTAACTATAATTTATCAGCAGTATTTAGTAATCTTGCTTCTAACTATTATAAATGCGAAAGTTTATATAGAAGGATGTTTGTGTAGTCCCGCTTTGATTTCTATCTGATTCCGATGAACTTATATGGAGGTGCGCACACTACTCGATGGTTAGTTGTGCGAGTAATCAGTTTATTTGGCTGCGAAATAATCGACAATCGCACAACATTTGTGCAATAGTCAAAGGTGTGCACCCGCTTTGTATTACTAAAACACTTACCCATATTTAGCGAAATTTGTCCACATCATTGTCATAAATGTAACCATTCTGGCATCCTCTTCATCCATTGGTAAGGGCAATCGTTCTAATTCAAAAATATAAAACAAATCGTCCCTATTAGAAGTCGCTTCTAAACTACTATTCGTTAGAATTCTGCCTAAATTCCTGTTACCCAAATAATTGAATATATACGCGTATACTGGCAACCCTGTACTATTAGTGTATAAGTTAGTAAACAAAGACATTGGTCCTACGTAAGAAAAATCGGTATTTAGATTAATAATGCCGCCAAGAACAGCCTCATCAGTAGTGGTGTTGACAAAGTAAGTATCTTTCAAAGTATCTCGGAGTTCTATACGGTCTTCTGAGGGTACTTTTAAACTTCTTTGATCTAATGCTGAATAATCTTCGTTCTTTATTCTGTCCATTTGACTACTTATCGTATTATAATCCAGTGTACTTGTCAACCCTTCAACTGTATTTAGACCAATTATCATTGGAACAGGGCTTATTACTTTGCCAGTAGAAAGTATACTAAATGGAGTGTCTAATAAAAATGGTTCTTCATCATCGAATACTTTCTCCAGTGTTGGTAAGAAGACTGATTGGGCGTTCATTTGTTTTCCTATTGCTTCTTCAACTCTAGAAACTTCCGCCTCAGAGTACAGTTCGTATAAATCATACGGGTCTTTTGTGTTAACTCCTAAAGTCTTCGCGATTTTGATAGCGGTATTCAAAGGGTTAACATCGAAAGACTGCGGCGCGAAAGGTGTTCCACTTTCTGATATAACACGATGGAATAGACCTTTAGTAGATTCAGACATAGTTAGATAAATAGCCGCCAAACCGCCACTGCCTTCACCAAAAACAGTCACATTATTAGGATCTCCGAAGAAGTTGGATATATTATCTTTGATCCATCTTAAAGCCGCTCTAATATCCTTTAGTCCAGCATTCCCTGGTGCTTCTTTTATACCCAAATTAAGGAATCCATATGCATTTAATCTGTAATTAACAGTAACAACGATAACACCGTGGCTGATTAAATACTGAGGACCATAGAAGATAGAAGATCCAGAGCCGACACCGAATCCACCACCGTGGAGAAATACCATAACAGGAAGGGATGTATTTTGTAATTGTGATGGTAAATATATGTTTAGTACGAGACAGTCTTCTGTATCGCTGGGTGAAGCTAAAGGATCCGGGGCTGGGAATTGTGGACAAAGAACTTCTCGATTATCAGCTTTGTATACTCCCGAGAATGTTGGAGGATCTTCCGGAGCCTGGAATAAAGAAATTGGTTAAATAATTAAAAACATAGTGGCATAGAATTAGACGAAACGTTGTCCCTTAACGACTGTCTCTGTGGTTACTGGTCAAGCAAAAATTTTAATTCGATTTTTTTTTATTATATTAACTATTAGGTGCCAAACGAGCGAGCGGCCACCTGAATTCACCCAAATGGCAAAGCGACCACTGCCCATAGACATTCACTATAGCGGATGCGTTGTCTACTCTTAATCGAGAGAGGAGACGCACATAAAGAGGATTGCCCGTTCCCATGCGTCTCCTCCACCTTCAAATTCACGTTCTCTTCTCATCCTTTTGTCATAAAAAAGTGTGGGAAGCAATAGGGACTAAAGTTGGGCCTCCGGCACCGAACTCATCAGACTGTACGCGGAATTGATCTCACTCCACGTCTGTCCTCTGTCGTGGTATTGCACCGAGCGACTCGACCCATTCGTGCGAAGTTGTTAAAGCGGGATCTACCACTGTTCACTTACCCTAAACTTAACAGGAACTGCATATCTGATACTAAGGAATTCGTAGTACAATCCATTGTTGGACAAGCTTCCTTCAACAGTCCCTTGCTTGGTTTCCACTTGAAGTGTTTCTTCTGCGGAAACCAGAGACAATACCGCGAAAATGACACAAACACTTAGTGTTACCATCCCTTTGGTTCTTTTTACACTGCGATATAGTCTGCGTAATTATCATTTATATACTTTAGCAATCTGGCAATACAATTTCGTGTAAGTTAAAGATAATTTAAGTTTGTAATCGTAATTATTACGTATAAATCTTGATAAATACTGATTGAGTGATTTCATACTGTAAAAGTCTAAGAATTGAGCAATTTTAATCAACTTCTGCCAACCGGTTAGTTTTAATTTCTGGATTGTCTGTTGTTTAACAATTTTATTATTGTAATTTTCATTTTCTACATTAGTAAAAACATCTCTGAAATAAACATGGACACTTCGCTACGTAAGCACCGATTACAATCAGACTGATGTTGAATTTTAAAAGAATTCGAAGTTTGAAATACAACCGCGTTTTAAAATTTTAAACGCTATTCCATATTTAAATGTCGTTTTGATATTTGGCCGCTTATATCCTGTTAGAAAAATTTCCACTTGTCTATTTTTTGTTATACAAAATGATTTCTCTTAATTGCATAAATGTTTCTTTATCTAATATTGTTTATAATATCAATATACGTGCTAAAGTTATTGTTACAAAATGTACGTGACTGTACTGCAACATGTTATAGATATATAAAACGTTTATCAATTTTATCAGATTTTATTTTCTTAATGTTTTAGTGACTAAATCCACTCTAGTAGTTTTATTTAATTCTATTGGGCTTTTAGGTAAATAAAAAAAAACAAACAAAAAACATTTTATTGGTGTTTTTTTTAATTGTGTATGTGTATTTGAAATGGATACAGACATTTGAAAAATGTATAACAACACTGTTACATACCTATTAATAAATAAAGTACGTAAATAAAACAAGTTTTTTTTCTTTTTAAATACAATTAATGCAAGGCATAATATTTCAATTGTCACAACTGGTCGTAACGGAATAAAGAAAAGTTAAAAAGTTTGACATTTCCAAACAGAAGCATTTCTGACGTTTGTCAAATTTCTCGATTTATTGTATTGTTTTAAATCGACAAAACTGTTTATTTACACACATTTTTCGCTGAAATATGACAATAATTATCACAACAACATACTATTTATGATATAAACTTATAATTATTGAGTGAAACTCGCAACAAACATAAACTAACAGTGCTTACGTGTAATAAAATATTGAGAAAAACCACATCAGTTATGAATAAAAAGCCAAAAAGTGGTCCTAGGATTCGTATAACAAGACAAGCTTTACGTAAAAAGGAAGAAGGTACAGAAGTGAAAGAAGATAGCAGCTTCATTTATACTTGTCAATATTGTCGGGTTAAATTTACACAAAACAGTCATTTTTTCCGACACATGACATCAAATCATCAAGCGCAACAGAGAGAAGCCACTTTCGAGTGCAATGAGTGTCAAATTATCTTCACAAAGAAGAATCTGTTAGATCTACATTATAAAAAGCGTCATCAAATAAAAAATAAATCGAAATGTGAAACGTGTGCGATAACTTTTAAATCTAGATATTGTTTACGTCGACATATGAAGTTAAAGCAAATTATGAATGAAAATTCATGTGTGAAGTGTCAGAAGAAGTTTACTAATAAAGATTTACTTGTTAAACATGTTAAAAATAAGCATACATTTAAAAATGTGACTTATCAATGTGAACTTTGTACTCTTAAGTTTAAAGCTAAAAAATCTTTACAAACTCACTTAAGTAGGATACATAAAAGATTATGATTAATGTAATTTTATGTAACTGAGTTTTCACTACCAAAACATTGACAAAAACATCTCAATCTGCCCTTTTCTTTATTACTGTGTGCACAGTATGTACCTTTACTTACATCTCTATCAGCTGAATATCTGAATTCACTGCCTTCTCTAGCATATCCTCTGCATCACAATACATGCTTTCCCCTGCGTACTGTACAGTATGTACTCTTACATACATCTCATCAGCTGATTATCTGAATTCACTGCCCTCTCTAGCATATCCTCTGCAACACAATACATACTTTCCCCTGAGTAGTGCACAGTATGTACTCTTACATATATCTCTCCCACATATCCTCTTTGAAATACAATTGTTTTAGTTCTGAAAACTCTGTTTAGTTGTTACCATATATTTCAGTTAACTATTTCTATTTTTGTACAACTAAAATACTCTATTAACAACTTTAGACATGGGTAACTTAAAAATACTGATCTGCAGATCAATTCATGGTTCACAAGAATTAGGTAAATTTGTGAAGTTATGATTTATGTCACAAACTATGATTTGCAAGTTACAAGACAACTGGTGGCTTACTGGATTAGTTATATCATGTTGAGCAGTTAATTTAACCCTTAAGGTTATATTTTTTTGTTTTAAATACCTTAAATTGAAACAGGTAGTTAATTAAACATAAATTAATGGAAAAATAAAGGAAAAAAATATTTTTCAAAGTTGTCCATTGCATAAGGTAGATAATACTGATTTATAAATGCATCATCATGCATTTAAGGATTAGATTGTTGAGTAGCAGCTCAACAGTTCACTTCTATGTGAACAACCCAATTCTGAGCTGAGTTACATGTGTGTTGTTGAAATTAATTTGTTAATGAGTGAATTTCTAATATCTACACTTAGTTGTGACCGATTTTGAGTGGCAGTTAAAATAAATAATGTACTTATGTTTAATACAGCAGTATTAGTTTTTGCACAAAGTTTCAATAGATATTAGCTTAATTTGCCCCATTGTGCTTCAGATTAGTCTGGAGTACAATGGGGCAAAAAGGTGGTTATAAATGGAACTATATTATGACAGCTCCGCACCCTTTTGTACCATTGTCTTTATCCATGTAGGTTTTACATCTTTGCTGTCTGAACTATCAAAGAGTGCCTCATGCATTTTAAGAAATGTGAATTAATTTTTTTCACTGGTACTTTCTCTGAAAGGTAATATATCAGTTGTCAAGCTTAGTATTGACATGTAAAAATGAAATGTAAAGTGACAAGTATGCCTACTCTGTTTTTTTTGTATGTCTTTGGCCTCATACTGGACATAGTTTGTATTTAAAATAGTTTTAGCAAGAAGTGTCCTTAAAATTTATAAATACCCTTAGTTTTAGATTTTTTAAGGCAGTAACCTTCTCCGTTGTTAACAGAATTTTTTAACAAAGTTTTTCAAAATCTGTCAAATAGTTTAGGAGAGCAAATTGTATTTTTCTTAACATGAATTTGTGGAAACTCAGTTTGTATCGTCAATTAAAATGGTTTGGTTGTAATTTACTTGTAAATATCTAGTTTTTATTTAGATTAAGAAAATTAACTTGAATAAAATAAGACAATAAATAATTTGTATTATTAACTAGCTTTGACTCTGAGAGGTAAAATAAAGTTTAGGTTTCTTGATACTTTTGGAGTTTTTTAGTTTATTTGGTTGAATATATCATAATGCAAGATATTCTAATACATATAATAAAATTGGAGTGTGTATAATATCAAAAGAAGACTTCCAGATTTCAGGAATGATGTATTTGCGTTGCTGACAATGAAAATCGAATTTTATTTTTTTTCGTCTCCGCAAGCCAAATTTAGGTGCAGGCAGAACATCCTGACTCAAATACCTACACCAGTTGTTAGGAAAGAACACCCATTCAGTTTTTAGGGCCGCTGTGTCAAATGCAAATTGTCCCAATGATCGCCAAACTCGACAGATGGCACTTTAAGAAGAAATTAAAACTCCAAACTTTCTTAAACCAATTATATTTTAAACTTTTAATATTATATATAAATCTTTATAAATATAACTAACATACAAAACTTATATAATAACATCTGAAGATTTAACTAACTTCCCATTTAAGTATCCCATTTTGTGTTTCTCCCGAACATGTCTTACAACATGATCTCTGCGTTTAAATACTTGAGGACAAATTGGACAGACAATTGATTGGTTTAAATGTTGAGATTTAACATGCCTCACCATATGATCTCTGCGTTTAAATGTTGCATTACAATGCGGACATATATGTCTCTCTGACGACACATGCGTCGTCTCATGTTTCTCTAAGTCAGCCAAAGTATGACAACGGAATTCACAATTTCTACATCGAAATACATCTGAATTTGATGTATGGTACATTTTTATATGTTCTAATAAAACATCTTGTCGTTTACAATCTTTATCACATACGGGACAACTTGAATATTTCCTGTTTAAATGCAAATTTTGTACGTGCCTTTTTAAATGGTCTTGGCGACGAAAAACTGAGTCACAATATGTACACATAAATTGCTTCTTATACGCGTGCATTTCAATGTTGTGGTGATCATATTCGATCAAGTTGTCGAAGTTTAAGTTGCAATGAGGACAGAAGCGACTGAAGGTTAAGACATTTTGTGTTTTAGATGTTGAATGTTTGTCAACTGGGGTATGTTCAATTAGATTTAGCACGTATGTTGTACTCTTGTTGTAGTTCTCTGGTTGATAATTTACGTTAACATTATCCATCATTGTATACTTTGTTGTTTTTATTTAGTATTTACAATTCAGTTATCTTTGTCTCATTGTTTTGTTATTGTACAAGAAAAGTTCGACAGTTCTTTGAATATTTCATTTTCCTCCAAACCAAAATGAAAATGACATTACGGTAAAAAATACAGATTAGGTAAACCAAAACTTAAAGTTCGAGTACAGATTAAAAAACGACACTGAACTTTTTTAATGGACAGGCTATAATCATGTTTTGTGCTCATTTGGTTATTGCCATTTTAGTGAGAGTCAAAATGGCGGGTGTACCATCGCGAATTAAATTATACCACTTACTAAAAAAATGTACCTAAAATGTACTAATTAGTACC